AGCAAAGAACCAAAAAATGGTTCTTTGAAAAACTTAATAGTTTAGACATAATTCTTGCAAGATAAATGAAGAAAAACATGTATAAATTATGAATAAACAAAAGAAAAAATTGGTAGAAGAACTAATTATGGATTACATTTTAATCTGTTAAAATAATATGATGAATTTTTTGCCCATAAAGATGCAAATTTAGATGAAAAGGATACATGGTGAAAAAATTGATGCAAAAAACCCCCAATCAGTAACCATTAAAAAAATTGTAATGATTATCAAGACTTTATCCTCCTTGCAATATAAAAAGAGACCCAGACAGTTTGACAAGTGAATTCTATTTAACTCTCAAGGAACAGAAAATCCTTGTTTATAAAACTTATCATAGAACAAAGAAAAAAAGCCAACCTATTATGTTTGGTTTTGAAAACAAAAGCCAGATTAAAAAAATATTGGCCAAGTTCACTTATGACATTGAAAAGCACTAAGAATTCAAATCTAGCAGTGTGTTAAAAATAATACATTATGACTAAGTTGGATTAATCATAAAAGTGAATGGATGTTTCAGTGTTTAAAAAAGTCTGTTACTGTAATTTACGACATTAATGGCAAAGAACAAGAAATGGTGTCAGCAATGATAAAGAAAAAGCTTTTAATAAAATTGTTTTTTCTTTTTTCAGTGGAATCAGTCCTTAGCAAACTTGAAATAGGGAATATTTTTTTTAGCTTGATAAAGGCTTTCTGCTAAAAACCTATGGCCAACGTCATTCTTAATGGAAAAAACAAAACTTTAAACTCATTCCTTTTACGGGTGAAAACAAAACAAGGATTCCTGTGTTACTTGTACTTCTCAACACATTGCCAGACACCTGACGATGCAGTAAGACAAAGAGACCAACAGAAGTAGGAGAATTGAAACGAGAGAGATAATTGTCATTATTCCTAAGTAAAATCATTTATATAGCAAACCAAAGAGAATCGGCAGAAACTATTAGCAGCAATACAAGAGTTCAGTTAGGTTGACAGCTAGTAAGAGCAACATATAAAAATCAATAGCTTTCCTCTGCACTGGAAGTAACCAATTATAAACTATGATGATAATAAGAGACCATTTATGATAGTGACATAAACTAAAATCTATCTAGAAATAAGTCTAAGAATTCATAAAACATATAAGGAAAATTTAAAATCCTATTACAAGAGTTTTATTACGGTATTATAAGAGTATAAATGCGGCGTTCATAAATGGATTGATTCAATATTGTGAAGATGTCATATTTCCCCCATGAAAATTTAAATTCAATGTAATTCCAATCAACATCTGAGCAAGAACTTTTTTGAAGGGGCAGAGTTGAATCTGAAATTTATATGGGAGAATAAAGGTAAAGAAGGATTCTATCTTTACATGGCATTAACGTTATACAGCAGGAGTTGGCAAATGACAGCCCACAATCCAAATCCAAGCTGCTGCCTCTTCTTATGAATAAAGTTTTACTGGGACACAGCCACATCCATTCATTTATGCATTGTCTATAGCTGCTTGCATGCTACCATGACAGAGTTGGAGTTGCAATTATAACAGACTGTGTGGCCCGCTGAATCTGGCCCTTTAGGGCAAAAAATTGGCACCCCCTGTTCTCCAGCATCTGGCAAAGAATCAGAGTATAATAAAGTCCAAACTCATTCCTATGTACATATGGGAACTTGGTATAATCATTCCCAACAATTGGTGCTAGGAAAATTGGTTCACAAAAGGAGAAAAATGAAACCATTCCTGTACTTCATACCATAAACAAAACTCCAAGTGGATTAAATACCTAACTGTTAAGAGTGAAAATATAAAGCTGATGGAAATTTAAGAATATATTTTTGTAACCTTATGGAAGAGAAGGGTTTGTTACATAAAATTCACAGAGCACAAACCATAAAAAGAAAGTCAATGAATACATCAAAATGAATGGTTTTTGTTAAATGGAGAGTATGATGAAAAAAACTAACAGATGGTGAAAATATAATTGTCATGTTTAATAGACTAAGATCAATATTTAAATATACTAAGGACTCTGGAAAATCAGAAAACAGAAAGGAGGACACCAGTATGAAAGAGGGCAAAGCATGAATTGGCAATTCAGAGAAGGAGAAATGTATACATGCACATATCAAATTGGAGACAAGCAACATAAAGGTGGCATGCCATTTTGCCTATCATATCAGTAAAAGCTAGGAAATCAGGTATTCTCAAGTGCTGTCAGGGATGTGGGAAAATAGACATTTGCATGTCTTGCTTCTAGGACCGCAAACTGGTGCTTATATTTTAGAAAATCTCAGTATGTGTATAACCTAAAACCGAATAATAGGTCTCTAACATAGATACCCAGGGAAGTACATGTAAGGATGGTCATCACAGTATTACTTGTGGTAAAAGACCGGAGAGAAGCTAGCTCTTCAGCACTAGAGAAATGGACAAGGGAAATTACAGTGGAATACAGCGAGAGGGAATAAGCAGTGAGAAGGAGTGAATTTCATCTATTTATAGCAACGTGACTGAGTCTCTAAAACAATGTTGAGAGAAAAAGGCAGAATGAGATTTAAAGCATGATACAATTTATAGACAAATTTAAAAGCCATATGCAAGAGCCCTATATATTTTGACATATAAGATATTTGTAAAAATGCAATGAAGATTATAAACACAATGTTAATTATGAAAAAGTGAAGCCCTGTGGTGGGAGAGGAAAGAATGGGCCTGGGCATAGAGGATGAAGGGGAAATGATGATAAGAAAACTGAAAACCACAAGAAGAGCCTTTCACGAACCATTAATCGTAGCTTATCAACTAGAGCCTATGCTTAAGTCAATTCTGTACAATTATCCTTAAGGGGAAACAAACTCTGGGGACGTTATTCCTTCCAGCATTGTTAGCTCCAGGTGCTCACAGAGTGTCATCAGGTATGGTCTCTCTCTGTATCTTGGCTCTGCTGGCCTCAGTGTTGGCTCTGATATCAGGCAGACTGTTTTCCGTGTAACTCTAGCTGTTCCAGGTTCAGTTCTTACCAGTTTTGCAACTCAGCAGAAAGAAAGCTCTTTCTCCATATTGTCAGCAGTAATCCTTGCATGGATTTCCTTCCTTTGAATGCCTCATTTTTTGTCCTGTGTCCACTCCTGAACCAATCATGTGACAGGGCACTGAGGATGCCTGAGTCACTTTTCTATCCCTAGAACCCGGCAGTAGGAATAGTGCCACATACAAAATGTGGTAGGATATTACCCAAAGAAAAATCAGGGTGATGTGAGCAAAGCTACCAGATATGACGAGAAAGTGGATGCTGGGGAGGCAAAAAACACAGATAGCTGCGAGGAACTTGAACCAATGCTGTTTATAAAATGATTGAAATGAATTGCCATGTTTATTCTAGAAAAACTGGGGAAAATGAATAAAGGTTAACTCTAAGCATCTGCCACTTGCATGCCACTTGTTTCATATGACCCAGAGGTATAAATCCACGGACTTGGTATGAAAGACAACTACGTAATTGCTGGAGTTGATTGCCTTAGAAGGAATGGATAGTGAACTTCCCATCAATGGGTATATTTAAGCATGGACTAGCCAGCTACCTGGCAAGGATTCTGTAGAGAAGGACCCAAGGGCTGGGAGACTAGTTGGGTTTGATCAGTGGTTCTGAATCATCTAGACAGCTTATTAAAGTATAGATATCTGGGCCCTTCTCCCAAGAGTTTCTGGTTTGGTACATCTGGAGTAGAACTCCAGAATTGCATTTCTAATATGTTCCCAGGTGATGCTGCTGCTCCTGGTCCAAGGAACACACCATGAGGACCACTGTGTTAGATGATTTTCAACATCCTTATTGACCTTTAGTTTTTATGAGATAGTTGTTAATGTTTTAAAAACCAGTATTTGTATCATTGAGGCAAAACTTCCATCTTATTTCTCTGTACCTGAAATGTGTTAAGTTTTGGCTATGTTGGTGCTTCAACAGTAGAGGCTATTTGCATAGCCCTCTGTATCTTTTGGGTCATTGGGAACATTAGAATCATTAAACAATTTGTGCTTTATAAAATAGTCAACCATTTTCTGACATGATCCTTTTCGTAATCCTGTTTCTGTTTGCCCATGGGTTGATCTATTTTCATCACTTTTGTAGTGGGATGGTTCCTGAATTAGAAAAATGAAATGATTTCCCAAGGAGAGTGTGTCTTAGTCATTCAGAAAGTAACTTTGTCGTGTGTAGGCATCCAGCTGATGGAAAATCATTCCTTGGTACCCTAGATGCCAAGTGCTAAATCTTCTTCAACCCCATCGCTGTGGCTTTCCCCAGAAAAGAGGACATGAAACACTTCACATACCTTGCTGGCTCTGCATCAACCAGCAATTGTTCTCATCTTGAACTCTATTTTTCGCCTTCTCTTTATCAATTTTTTTCTCTTTAATTTTGGAAATTTTGCTATAATAGTTCTCAGGGAGTGCTCATATGTTTCTCTAATTGTAGGCAAGGTCAAACAGTACTTGTCCTTTCTCTAAATTGCTTTTATATAAACAGAGATAAAACCATTTGAGAAAAGCATTTAAGAATTAGAAGGTTATAGTCAATGCTTAACAATGAAAATTTTCAGCTTAGCAAAGATAATGAAATGGATGGGTAAAAATAAAAAGTGCCTGACAGATAGCACATAGTGGATTTGAGTTAAGGTGGCAAGCAACCTGAAGTGCAGAGAGATTTAAGAAGACTGTTTTGTTGTCCATGTGCAAGCTTCTGCTTGACAACACTAACTCCAGGCAAAGCAAGGCTGGTAGAGAGAGTGGAGTATTTTAGGAGGACTTACCCAGAATACATCTTAGTGGATATTAAATGGGGAACAGTTTAAATGAAGTCTTCTTTGCAACTAAGAATCTTTAGTAATGGAATTTGCTTTCTTTAAAGTGATACATGATCTGAGTTTCTCATCTGAATTTTATAAATGCCCATTTCCTAAATCCTCTTCTCTTTCAGACTTTAATTGTGTGGAAATGTCATTCAGATTCGGCCAGCATCTCATCAAGCCCTCTGTGGTGTTTCTCAAAACAGAACTATCCTTTGCCCTCGTGAACAGGAAACCTGTGGTACCAGGACGTATCCTTTTTTTTTTTTAACAGAGGAAAAATAAAAAAGCCTCTGTAGCTAACAGACCAAATGAATACAGGATTGGCCTCCAGTGTCTGTCCGAAAAGGTAAACAACGAATCTGCCTCGCTCCCGCTTTGGGAAAACCAGGTAAGGTGTTACTCACATTTATTCTGAATCCAGTTGGTGGCACCAGTAATATGCTTGATCAATGTTGCAGAACTTCTGAAAAGAGTTGCTTGGCAACCATGGCTTTGGAGGTGAATTTTTGCTTGACCTTTTGACTGTCGTAGCTGTGTAAATAAATAGGTGCTTCTAAAATGGGCCCAACGAATGTCATGGGCACATTTTTTCAGTTATCGATTGTGAATTTTAATAGTAAGAGATTGGGTAGCACTTTTGTGATGTGGAAGTAAGGTATTACACGAAGATTTGAGATTCACTTGGTTTCTTTACCTCTTGGAGGTCATTCAAACTATGAGTTTTAATTAAATTCATACATGTAAACATACTTACCAAATATTTTTTTCATGTTAGCATCCGAAATAGCATTTTTTCTTGAAAGCATCCCAGCTTCTACATCATTGTCCAGTGTCACTGGTGGTAGAGTTGTTTTATTTCCCTCTGACCGTCGAGTCTTCTCTCCTATTGACTTCAGTAGGAGCTTTCCTTTTGCAGTGGGAGTAGCAGGAATTGGTGAAATGCTCTACAGAGTTATTTTTATGTTGTTGAAATTATTACTCATGACTGTGTGCATATGACTTTTGTACTGACTCTTCAGATTTCTCTTTCTCTTTCCCCCTTAACATAATTTACTATGCAGAGGGCAACAAAGTATAAAATTTCATATTTTGTTTTTAAAGATTGGCACCTGAGCTAACAACCGTTGCCAATCTTTTTTTTTTTCTGCTTTATCTCCTCAAACCACCCCGCCCCCCCCCCCATACATAGTTGTATATCTTAGTTGCAGGTCCTTCTAGTTGTGGGATGTGGGACGCCGCCTCAACGTGGCCTGACGAGCGGTGTCATGTCCGTGTCCAGGATCTGAACCCTGGGCCGCCGCAGCAGAGCGCGCGAACTTAACCACTCAGCCACGGAGCCGGCCGCTAAAATTTCATATTTTAAAATAATAAGTATTTTTCACACTGAAACATGATTTTACTTTGAAATAAATTTCTCAGTAATTCTGAGTCTACAAATATGTCAAGATTTTTTCCAGAATTAGTTACATTTTTTTCAGGAGGAATTTTCAAAGTGCTTGAGAACTTTATGAAGTATCTTCTTTGTTAGCCATGTAACTATTGTACATTGAAAAAAATACAAATAAGAAAACACGTACCAAAAGATAATTGTGATTTTATAATAGACTTCCAAATTCTTTGAACCCAAATTTTAACTGAATAAATTTTGTAAATTTAACTAACTAATGATCACAGTGATAAACTAGTAAATAATATTATGTAAATTTTTTCTTGATAATATTTAACTCTTCTTTTAAATTTATAAAAATAGTTTAAATTATCAATACTCAATATTATAAAATTTCATTCTTCTGTTTAGTGACCTAGAAAAATAAAAACTGGAATGATTTATAAAGGTCCTATGAAACAGAACAACTTTTAAATTGTATATCAATTTTATATTGAGTTCTTCTAAAAGACCTTGAAGTTCTTGAAATAACAGAAGCATTTTATTTTTTCATTTGATTTTGCTGCAAGTTTGTGGTTGTCTTTTTCCTTTGAGGAATTTTATTTTTTAAGCCAAATGGGAATTCTGGTGTCAAAAGAATACGGTTTAAACGCCGTCTTCTCTTTGGGTGCCAGCTTTAATTGGCTTCTGTCAAAGCACTGCAGGAACCTGAGATGAAAATGTGAATTTAGATGAGCAAATCTTAATACCTTCGACTGAGAAAATGTGAGGTTATAGAGTTGCACTGCTTTCTTAATGTTTAATAATGGCATGAACTTTACTTTGTGATTTTTTTTTTCTCATATCTTGATAGTAAGAAATTATGGTATTTTTAACCAACTCTGACAGTGTGATGTGTAAGATCTGGGTCATATATGTGTTTGAACTCAAGAAAAGTTGAGGTGTCTACTTGTAAGGAAATGTTTATACTGCAATAGTGAGCAATCAGTGAATGATGACTAGTTTTGTTCCAGATGGCACTGGGATCGCCATTTTGGAAACGAGTCCTGGACAGTTAGTTACCATATCTCTGAGTAAATGCCAAGGACATGGGGAACACTATTAAAATCAACAGGCCTCAGTTTGTTTGGAAGGTAGCAAGAAGGACCTGGCCCTTTCTGAGGATGAGAACAGTGAGAAGCGGAACGTATTTGTAATCAGTATGCTCTGTGAGGCTATTTCACGTCTACATTGTTGAAAGTGGTCTCAGGGCTAGTAGATAACGTATTCAGACAATCCTTTTTATATGATGATTTTGTAACTTTTTATTTTACTGTATCTTTGTAAACTCTGTTAGTAGCACCTGTGAGAAGAATCTTAATAAGTTACTCGTTTGCTTGCAGAAAGTGATATTCTTTTGTCCTGTGATTTGAGAATTGAAGATGTGGATAGCTCTGCACACTAGCGTTTCATAAAATAAATGATGAGATGTCTGCAGTGGGCTTTAATCTTCCCCCAGTGTTCTCTTCTGTCTGCCCTGGATAAGCCCCCTGGTGTGAGTCTTCCATGTCTTCTAGCTTTTTGCACCCTCCTGGTCCCTGGACTTCTCCAATCTAGCCAACACCTCCTTTTAAACCATAGCCGTGATCATATCACTCTCCTATTTTCCTGCAAACAAACCATGAATGGATCTCCTTTATTTTTATTTTTTTGAGGATGAAGTTTAAACTCCTTATCACAGTTTTAAAAGATTTTCCTTATCTTGACCTAACCCACTCCCTTTCCAGCTATTTCCTAAACAGGTGTTGTATTTCTCTTTACCATCCTTTTTCTCCCTTTACCCCACCTCTTTCTTTGTCTTGAAATACTTCCCATCCTTTTCATTTCAATTAAAGTGGTTTGATACCTGTCCCACCCTCTTAGGAGAAAAATGCTCTGTCCTTTTTGTGACATTTGGTGCCTTAATCATATGTTGATTCATTCAACAGTTTATTACTGAGCTCCGACTCTCTTCTAGGTGCCATGCCAAACGCTTATCGCAATCTGCATCATATCAGAACTGTGCTCATTCCTGTTTGTCTCTGCACTGAGTCATTATTTCCTGGGAAGGAGTGGGGCCAGGACCTGCTCTAGCTGGCACATCTCTTTTTCTCTTAGCATCCAGAAGTACTATGTTGACTGTGAACATCAGGAGCATATGGATTGTTTCAATTAATGGAATGGGGCAATATGGGTCTGCTGAAATCCTGTCTTTTCAGTATTCCCATGCATAAAGCTAAGTCTTGTCACCATTTTATCCCAGATTTTTAAATATCATATCCAAGCTGTGTTTTCCCAAATTTCCCTTCGTGCTTTGTCAGTTACAATCCTGTTTACATTTCTGTGTAACAAGTGTACAAAGTTAAGTCTAAAAGCAGTGAATAAATTTGTGGCAGATGGGAAAAGATTCTTTTCCATTTTTTTACATGCTAGTTTGTCAATGGACAAGTCTGTATTTTAAGGGCAGTATGTTGGCATCTTCATGTAAACTGGAACATTTCACTGTGTATTTTTGATGACTTCTTTTTAAAAACAGTATTCAGGTGGCCTTTGGGGGAATGTGCGATTCACAAGAGACTTGTAAATGTCATCTTTGAACTTGTGTCCCCTCTAACATTTTGCTGCCCCCCAACTGTTTTTTCTTAAGGCTTTGCTGGCCTGACTTTTTCATTTCTTTCAGAGGAGGAAAAGAACTGTCAGATCAGGGGCCGAAGATATGCTTTTGAAGCAAGACTATTTGCTTCATTCTTAAAAGAGCCACTTCTGTCTCTCCTTGTCTCCACCTCAAGCAAACACTTCTGTTCATTACAAAGTGTTTAAAGCTGATTGAATAGGCTTTGGCCTCTGTGGTGCAACACTCTAGAAGAATATGTCAGAATGGCTTTAATCCATTAATTTCTTCTTACTGGAAAATGTTTTTCAGAGTGTCTTGGTGAGAGAACAGAAACATTGTGGAGATTGCATCTTCAGAATTCTGCAGTGAACATTTTATTCATGTGCCTCAGTGTAGCCCAGCTGTTGTTCGAAGCTTAAATAAATTTGAACCAATGTGGTTAATACTTCTCCTCACTCCCTCCCCTTGCATTGTGCTGTGTCTACCTCTCATCTTGAGTTGAGCATGAAAAATGAATTTGAACATTAGTGAATCCATTTGGGGACTGGGCTTTTATTGTAAATAAAATTATTCATTTGTTATGTCCTGTTGTTTTCAGCAGACAGTGTATTGATCTTTGAATTGCTATTCAGAATGGCATAAGGAGCTCTAACATAAGGGGCACATGGCAACATTTGTGGATGGGTTGAATGTGCTATGTAATGACAGAGACAAACCTTGCTTGCTGGCCATACTATATTATACAAATCATTTGTCAACAGTTTATTGAATCAGTTATTAAAAAGAGCAGCTTTTTCCAAATGGTAGGATTGCACACAGAATGTTATCAGGGCCAAACAATGTTAGGTGATGCATTGAGGACAGCCTTACAAAGTGTATTCGTGAAGAATTAGACTAGGTAACTTAAAAGACATTTCTGCTGACATATACGTTAGGTATAAAAGTTTGGTACAATGGAAATTGTGCTCTAAGATCCAACAACAAGAGATAAAAATGAAAACTCTGACAAATGCCTTTTAATACAAATTTTTACCTTTCCAAACAAGCAATGTTAAGTTTTTTCTGTTTTCAGACCATTGCCATACTGAGTACTCCTGAAATAAATGAAAAATGAGCAAAAATAGCTTCATTACTTAACAGTGCTTCTTACGGAAGAGATGCTATAGATAAAAGTTCCCTTTTAGTCCTTCCGTAAAAATCAGAAATATTTGTCATTTCCTGAGTAGGTT